ACCTTGAACTTGGAAGTCTGTGGAATTTTGAGTCTCACAACCACAGCAACTGATAAAAGAACGTGTGTGTCTGAATCGGATCACCGTTCTCCTGCCATTTGGGAGAAGCCTTAAGGGCAGAGAGCGAGCCTAAAGACACCCTGCCGTCAACAGTGCCTACCCAGGGGAAAATTCCACAGGCGCTTTCCATCTGGCCCCTGCCAGCCCTCCAGCCCCCACCCCGCCCAGGCCTTCAGGGGTGTGGCCACAGCAACCCTCTAGGTACTAATCTGGGCATGGCACGCTCCTGTTGACTCCTGACTGCTGTCCTTGCAGCTGTCTGAAATACCCTGTTCTGCCTCTTTCTCCCAGTCACTTCTTCCCCTCGGCAAGCTCTTCATTCAAGGCCTATCTCAAAGGTCACACACCTTGGAAGCATTTCTTGACTTTCCAGACCCCAAGGTGAGTGAAGTTTCATCCCTCAGCTCTATGACAGCTGGTGACCAACTCCACCACAGTGCACGTCACGCTTTGTTAACAATTACCCTGCCTGGTATTCCCACTACAGTCTTGGCTTGAAACTCATCAGAGTGACCCACCAAACAGGTATCATAAAAAGTTTCAAATTCAAGGTCATAGGAAAGTTGTCTTCATTTGAGGCCATCGTGCACCAAAAATAAAGCGGGAAACTCAGTATTCCCATTCATGACCTTGAATGAAAGGCCTGAGGAGAATGGGGAGCACCACTCAACTAAGAGCTTCTGTTTTCAGGTGTGCGGCTCTATAGACATGGCTCCACAAACACACACACAACAGTACAGCTCAGGAGTAAATAAGGAAAGCAAATAGGATTCAGGATAGGAGAAATGTGCCTAAAAAAGGAAAGCTGTGTGCTAATATTTAGTGTGTTTCTTATTTCCCCTGTTGAAAATCGGTCTTTTCTTCTACCAGCCTGGAACAAGCTTTATTGATAATTTCCCAAGCTAAAATACTGCACATTTTTATATCAAAATATTTGGGGGCGAGTGCTACTTGGAAAGTCGCCCGGGTGTTATAATTTTGTTTGATTCCATATTGGTTATTCACTTATTCATGACCCAAATGAAATAGTGGCCTGCCTCTGTGTTGTAAGCATTGATAGTCTGGGGTTTGGAGGAAGAAATCATTCCCTGTACCATTTCCCAGGATGCAATATCCATCCTAAGTATACCTTCGTGAGCAGTTATTCTGCTGCAACTGGAAAAATACAAGCCATTGCTATCTGCCCAGGAAGTCAACAGCGAAAGGGAGGAGGCCTTACAAGCCACCTCAGTGTGTGGGACCTCCAGCCAGGTCTGGAGCCCAGACGGTGCGGTCTCTCCGTGGGCCATGCTGGGAGTAGGGGATTCGTCCAAGAGCAGGAGGTGGTCACTCACAGAGTTATTAACAAAGAGGGTGAAATGATGTGACAAGTTCTTCTAGAGATCTCTCTAGGTCCCAAGTGCTGAACGGAATGGAGGGAAAGTGGAAGTAGGGCAGCCAGCCCAGAGGCCTTTGCGGTCACCGAGGCAATGACCGTCACTGGGCGTGGGAGGTGGATGTGGAGGGCAGCAGATGCATTTCAGAAGCATCCCTAGGACTTGGTGGTTTGGAGGAAGAGAAAGGTGAGCAACTCCCCAGATTCTGGCTTGAAAAAGCAAGTTAGCAGCTGTGCACCTTAATGAAATGGGGGGAGGGGGGGTCTGAAAAGGGGTTGTGGTAGAAGGAACCAAGAACTACTATTTAGACTCGTTAAACTTGAGATGCCCAGGAGATATACAAGTTCGCTAACTGATTTAAAGGGTATAAAAGTGCTACATAGTACAGGGGTGACATGTGGAGTGGTGGATTCCTGGGGCCATTCTTTTTCTTTTTTTTTTAAATATATTTTATTGATTTTTAATAGAGAGAAAGGGAGAGAGATAGAGAGCTAGAAATGTCGATGTGAGAGAAACATTGACCAGCTGCCTCTTGCACACCCCCCACCGGGGATGTGCCCACAACCAAGGTACGTGCCTTTGACGAGAATCGAACCTGGGACCTTTCAGGCCGCAGAACGACGCTCTACAACTGAGCTAAACCAGCTTTGGCCCTGGGGCCATTCTTAATGGTGGCCCTTCCCATCCTCCTTGGTGTTCCAGTGTCCACCTTTATGCCAGCCCAGGTGAGGTACACATGAGGAGCTTATGGGACCAAACTCACCAGGACAGGTGCAGGCCGCCTCTATGATGGCCCCCAGGAGTAACACAGATACCAGCTTTGGGGCTGAGAAAACAGTAACTTTTCACAGGAAAGTGGTATTTGCATCAATTGGAAATAAAAAATGTAAGCTATTCCATTACAAGCATCATAATAGGTTTGCTCATTTCTCGATACTGATGTTTTTAAGTAGCACCAGTAGGTCCTTGGTATCTAGTTCTGCACCCTGGTAAGTACACCATTCCAAGTACCATCCCATTTGGGGGTTCCAAGTTAGAGTCTCCCCTCGGAAAATCTGAGGTGGCATCAGATGCAGAGGAAGGTCTCTCTCAACAAAAAGCCCAGAGAAATAGGCCTATTGTGGAAAAACAATGACTCACTGCAATCCCATGCTGCTCTCAGTTAATATCGTTTCCCCGAAAATAAGACAGTGTCTTATATTAATTTTTGCTCACAAAGATGCACTAGCTCTTATTTTCAGGGGATGTCTTCTTTTTCCATGAAGAAGAATATGGTACACATTTATTGTTAAATGAAAATAAAAGAAATTTATTACCTGTATACGATACGGTAGTACGGTAGTTGTCAACACAAACCAGACAAACTGTGAATCCTACAGTATCAAGAATTTACTCATTTATTCAATGACAATCATGTCATCATCTTCTGGAACATCATCATAACAATCCAATTCCTGAATTTCCTGATGAATTTCTTGTGACTCCATTTCTTTCAGAATCAGTGGACCAAATCTCTCATGTTTAGCAATAGCATTCTGAGACAGAGCCCAGGGGGGGCCTTATTTTCGGGGGGGGATGCCTTATATTTCATTCAGAAGGAAACTTGTAAGTAGGTCTTATTTTCAGAGGATGTCTTATTTTTGGGGAAACACGGTACACCTCCTTCTGCACCAGAACCTGTTTCCTATCATGACAAGCCTTGTTTCCAATTCCCCCATCAGAGGACAAACCAAAATGTCATTCGACAATCTGCTTTCTAATTAAACGTTGAGCCATTTTTATAAAGTCACATTTAACTAAACAATCCCACATGGCCATAGAGCAGTGAGGCGCCGCCTTGATTGATGGGACCAATTGTAATGACTGAGAGGAGAAGGGAGGGAAAGAACATCATGAGATACAGCCAGATTAAGCTGGTCAGACCTCTCTTAGCGTCTTCCCGTTCACTCACAGAGTAACACAGGGCAGCATGAACGTAAATTAATGAAGCTTCCGGCATTTCAGTAAGCCCTAACAAAAATAAAACTTACCAGACTACTTGGAAGGTCCTGGGAGAAAGATATCCACAGACATCTACATTTTCACAAAGGCAGCCTGGTTGGGGTCCGGGGTGACACCGGGTAGACTACATCTCCCAACAGATCCAGGCTCCCCACACCCCAAAAGAAACACTGAGGTTGAGTCAGAGACAGGTGAGACACAGTCAGGTTTTGTGACCGCAGAGGAGGCTTCCACGGAGAAGGACCAACCAAGATGGTACGATGGCGCAGAGGAGAGAATACCCAACTCCATTCACACTGACAACGTGACCTCAGGTAAGACACTGAGCTGCTGAGTCTGCTTCCTGCCTGAACACGAGAAGTGACCATGTGTCCTGCCTGTTGGCAAGGACTAGTGGGAAAAGATCGGATGATGTGGGTAGAAGCCCCTGTCAAAGGGAAAGAACTCCACAGCTGTGAGAGACAACTGCTGGGGACTGTGAGGGAGGAAAGGCAGGGACAAGGCCTAGGAGAGGATGGTAACTGAGGAAACTAGTAGACTTGGTAAGGAATGTCTTTGGGATACTTCACAAGCGCAGTGAACAGTCTGAAATCAAGAAACTGCTGACGTATTCATTTATGCAAAAATGTCTGGAGCAAGGAAGTGGGTTAAAATGCAATCGCCCACTGATTAGAGCAGCTTGAAGAGCATACGGATGAACGCCAGCAGACAGGAGGACCGAACCCCAGCCTCGTCCCAGGCCCATTCACCACCAGCCGCAGGGAGGTGGAGACAGGCTGGGAGCCAGGCTCCTGCAGCCACTGGTTTCCTGACCTGCCTGTCACCTCCCTTCCCTTCCCGCTTCTGGATTATGGCTCTTCACAGGGGCTCAAATTGCCCATGAAAAAGAAAAATCAGATACAAAAGCTTTCCTCTGAGCTTCATTTCACCAACAAGTCAACACACAAAGGACAACTAGAGAAGATTAGCAATTTCTGACGAAAGTTCAAAGAGCAGAACCCACGTTGAGAAGGAGGGAAGAGGTGGAGGTACAAAGGGAGCCTCACAGGCGCTGACAGTCTGGCTGGCCGGAGGCCGATTTCACTGTTTACTCAATAAACGTTTATGGAGCATCCACTACTTTCCAGGCACAAGTCATGTGGGCCCTCGAGGAGCTTACTGGAAAAACACACCAACAGGCAACGCTAATCAGGTTGGAAACGCCAGGATGGGGAGGTCACAGAGGAGGAGCCCCCACACTCAGCACAGCTGTGAGAGAAGAGCAGTCAGAGAAAACGTGAGGCCCATACAGTACATGTCGGTAACAAGGAGACAATATTATGGAGTCTCAAAGGCAGGAGAAACCACGGCCGGCAGGAAGGAACCGAAGAGCCCTCATTTCCAGGGAGTTAGCATTTGAGAAAGGCCCCGAGGGATGGGGGAACGTGGCAGGCAGAGGGGACTGGGGAGATATGACATCCAGAACCAGGCATGTCTGCAGAACGACAGGGATCAGATTCCCTCCCCACATGTGGGTTTCCCTGGTAAGAGAGCCTGAGTAGATATGAATGTACGTCTCCTTACCTTTTCTTCAACTTCCAAGAATCGCTGTTTCAATAGTTTCAGCAAGCCGATTTCCAGCGGAGGTGACTTGAGTTATTCCTGTTGAGAAATCAGAAGAAGAGGTATAATAGGTTTGGAGGGCTACCCAACCACACACATTTTGGGGAGATCCCCCAAGTCTGCGCGGAGAGGGCAATCCCATAGCTCCCCTCCCCCAATTGACTGAGTTGGGGATGGATGTATCACCATCAGCCGCACTGCCCCCTTCGCCTTCCCTCCACTGAGAATAAAGAGTTGCAAACTTAGGCACACCGTAGTGAGCCCTGATTCAGGGAAAGAGACACCACACACACACACACACACACACACACACACACACACGAAATGAGCAGGACCATGCAGCCCTGAGGTAGAGGGGCCTTCCTCCTCGAGGTCCCAGCAGGTGGTCAAGCTTTGCTCCCTGCAACTCCCGACATTCCTACGACAAACTCTCTAACTTAAGCTGGTGCTATGGCATCTGTTTTTCCCTGCAACCAAAAATCGCTGATTTAAAAGTAAGAGATCCAGGGTTGAGGCTAGAAAAAGAAACAAAAGTAGAGGGTTAAGAAAAAAAGGCTTCTGAAACCAAGTCTTGGAAAAAAAATAAAAGATGAGAGAGTGACCCGGGCCTCTGAACCACCGTCCTGTAATATCTGACAGGAAAGAAAGAGGTGTGTGAGACCCAGAGAACAGACCCAACACATAATTCATAAAATCCCAGCTGTGTTTAATAGTAAGAAGGAAGCCCAGATACTGGAGAAAAGGGATTCCCTATATCAGTGTTATCCACAACAAAACAAAATAAATAAGAATTTCATTGAAAATACAGAGGTGAGAGACTAAAAATTGCCCACAGTAAACAAGGAATAATCGAGTAACTATACAATGCCAATAAGAAGTGTAATAACTCAGTCTTGATTCATTGTGCTGCCCTTTTTTCTTTGTCTTAAACAATGAATATTTTATTTGCTCATGGTTTAGTAGGTCAGCAATGAGTGCTGGGCTCAGCCAGCTGGTTTTTCTTCTGCTCTTGCGCCTGGCTACAATGACCTGGTGATTCCACTGCACTGGAATGGGAGACCAGATGCCCTTGGTGGACATCCGAGGAGCAGGCCTACGCCGTCAGTTGGACATGCTTAGCACTGCCGTGGAGGAGGAAGAGGCTCCCACCACCACCACTGCACTCGCCAGCCGTTATCCTGGCTTCTGGCTGAGCATCTGCCCCCTGGTGGTCATCGTGCAACCAGTCATTCCGCCATTCGATCCATTTGCATATTAGCCTTTTATTATAAGGATTATATAGGATGATGTTGCTATACAGCCAAGTACACAATCCATGGAACTGTCTTATTAAATGGAGCACAGACTGGTATATACATGGGTTCCCTGTAGCTGCTGTAATAAATTACTGCAGACTGAGTGGTGTAAACCAATGTCATCATAGCCTTTCACAGTTCCAGGGGCCAGAAGCCCAAAATCAAAGTGCCAGCAGGGCCACACTCCCTTCCAAGGCTCTGGGGAGACTCTGCTCCCTGCTTTTCCAGCATCAGGTGGCTGGTGGCCACATCATGCCTCCACTTCACTCCAGGGTGAGTGACTGTGAGCGTGTGTGTATGTGTGTGATCTCCCTCTTATTCTCTTATAAGGACATTTGTAATGGCATTTAGGCCTCCCTGGAAAATCCAAATTCATCTCATCTCAAAACCCTTATCTTCATTACATCTACACACCCTTTTGCCAAATGAGAGAACATTATTTGGATATACCTTTGGGGCTACTGTTTAGTCCACTACAGCTGGTTTGCATAGCATTGAACCTGTGTGTGGCCAGTTGTACATGGTGCACACAAACCAACTCACCACTGAGGAAAAAAACACCCCCATCTTTCACTCAGCTCGGACCCTGCTCTCCCTCTACACCCCAGAGGCAGGGGCTGGGTGAGACCACGAAATGGGCAAGAAAGGAGAGGCAGCTAACTGGTGGCAGGGGGGCCAAGAGCAGGTGCAGACTGTGCCCTCGGCCTGCCCAGAGCTGGTCCCCACCTTCTCAGGCAGGTAGTGCAGAAGCTGTTCCCTCCTGACCATATTCCCAACCCTCACGTGGCTTTAGTTATAAAGTAATTAAATTATTCTGTTTTCTGTTCAATTGCCTCCCTCGTCCCATAAAATGCTCAGAGCTCTCAATGTCCAAGTTTGAAAACAGACACAAAACATTTTCATTAAAATCCTTGGGTACCTTGCACTGCCCTGCTACTAACATATCCTCTCCCCCAGCATCCCTCCCTGTACCCTCAAGAACATTCAGGAAGTTTCCAGACTTCATACAGAACAGAGGCAACACTTGGAGACTTAACAAAGCAAGGATTTACTTTCGAGTTAGAAGTTGCTTTGCCGGCACGAGTAGTCCTTGCTAAAGGAGCCTCTGTGCTGAGTTCTTTTGCTGTTACATCTCCGCTTTAAACAGCAGACGAAGCCAAAATGCCTGAAAATGTTTAAAATTATCACATGCAGCTACAGCCATAGTAAAGTGGGCACTCCATCATTCAACGACTGGTAGGAGTGAAATAGGCACAATCTTTCTGGAAAGCAATTTGCTATATCCTTACAAGTGGCTTAAAACTGTCCACCCATCTGATGTTGTAACTCCATCCTCAGAACCTCCCCATTTTGTCTGAAATGGGGACAAAACCGAACCCTCAGAGGTATCCATGGTAGTGTTCTATATGAAATTAAAAAACACCACTAAAAATAAACTTAATAGCCAAGAAAAGGAAATTAGATAAATTATGGTAGATTCACTGAAACCGGTTTGGCTCAGTGGATAGAGCGTTGGCCTGCAGACTGAAAGGTCCTAGGTTCAATTCCGGTCTTGACTTTGGTTGCTGGCACATCCCCAGTAGGAGGTGTGCAAGAAGCAGCTGGTCGATGTTTCTCTCTCATCGATGTTTCTAGCTTTCTATCCCTCTCCCTTCCTCTCTGTAAAAAAATCAATAAAATAATTTTTAAAAATATTATGGTAGATTAATAAAATTTTATGCATCCGTTAAAATAACATTTTAGGAAGAATTTTTCATTAAAATAACAACTATATCAGTAACTGTTAATCCTTACATGGACCAGGCTCTATCCTATGCTGATTAGGTGCTTTGCATGTTATTAACCCCCAATCCCTGTATCAACTCAAAGAGGTAGGTATTGTTTTTATCCCCACTTTACAGATCAGAACATGGAGGCACCAAGAGTTAAGATGCTCACCCAAGGCCATTCTGCTGCTAAGAGACAGCACTGGGATTTGAGTCCACCGTGCCCAGCTCCAAAGTCCAAGCTCTTAAACCCTACACTACACTGAATAATAACCACCAAGACATCAGGCCCTAACTCTGGAACCTGAGATGTTACAGGATCTGGCAGATGTGATTAAGATAAGATTCTTGAGAGGAAGAGATACCCTTGATTTTCTGGGTGGCCCCTAGGTGCCTCCACAAGTGTTCTCATGGTAGAGGCAGAGGGAGATTTCACACACACACACACACACAGGCAAACACACAAGAAAGGCATGTGAATAGTAGAGAGATGGGGCCACATGACAAGGAACTGGGAGGGGCGGGGAAAAGATTGACCCTGAGAGCCCCCAAAAGGAGCACGGTCCTGCCTCCACCTTGATTCAGACTTCTGGCCTTTCAGAACTATGACAGACTAGATTTCTGTTGCGCTAAGCCACCCAGTTTGTGGGAATTTATTACGGCAGCCAGAGGAAATGAAAATAAGCTCCTACACCGTACTGCTCTCAATGCAAGAAAAAATATTCGTATGTTAAATGGGAAACACAGAAATAAAAATTCAAACACAATGATCTTAATTATGCATATAAAGATGCATGCAAATACAACACAATGTTTTATAAGTGATTATCTCTGAATACTAGAATTATGGGTAATTTTCAGCATTACAGCTTTTGATATTTTTCCAAATGTCTACAATCAGAGTGAATTGCTCATACAAAAAAAAAGAAAATTATTTTTTTAAATTAGCAACTCACGATATTTCTGCGACTCTAATTCCACCACAAAAATTAGAAATCAAGAGGACCAAAACTCCCTGAGAATCTTCTTAATTGCGTCTCAGAGCAGCACCTGAAAAATCAGCAACGCAGATAGATGCATGCCACTCTCCAAGGCTCACGCATCCCTGGGCCTTCCCAGGCTGTTTGTTTTCAGACTCCGGCAGGAACATGATGTGGCTGAAGAAGTTTCAGGCTTTGAAACAAGAGGATGTTCTGAGCTGGTAAACACAGCCCAGCTCATGTTTTCCTGTCCATCTATCTATACATGATGGGAGGTGGGGGGGAGGAGAGAGGGTGGAGGGAGCAATGGGGGGGTCTTTGTGCATTCCCAGAGCTCATCCAGCCCAAAGTGAGTGGTACTGGCCACGTGCCAAGAACCAAAAGCAGTGGTTTATGTAAATGTTTGATTTCTCTGTAGGTGACTTCACAGAATGAAACATCCAATTAAACAGCGGCTTGATCTTCTTACCGAAGCCCTGACTCCCAAGGTTATTCAGTTGCAAACCCTCCTGCATTCATCTTTGCAGCCAATTCACTGTGTCCACATCAAGTCCTTTGATTAAACAATCACAGAAAGAGTGCGTTAACATTTCCCCCCTGTATGGGCAGGGGGAACTGTATGGACCGAATAGAAGGTAGGGTGTATTCTGTGTTTTCTTTTGCATGCTGGAGAGGAGAAGAATTACTCCAAATCAGGCCGGTCAGGGCAGCGGAGCGTGAAAAGCACATGGCGTGGTTTTACTCGGTCACCCTGTGGAGTACACAATTTGGACACTGGGGTGATGGGACCACGGTGTGGGGTTTGTCCGTTAATCTCAGGTCTGATGACCACAGACGGAGAAAGAGTTTCGGGGGAAGAAGGGATAACATCTAGGCCTCAGTTGTGTTTCAGCTTCAGGCCCAGAGGAGCAGGGATGCCATGGCTGATATCAGGGTCAGATGCAATGACTAATGACCACCAATCAGTGCAGACAGTGATCCTAGCTCCCTCAGTTTCC